CTCACAACCAACTTTACTCCTATCTGTCACTCAATAACCTCTTATGCCCTTTTCAGTCCGGCTTCCGCTCTTCCCACAGCACGGTTGGGGCACTGCTGAATATTACAGAGGATATTCGTCACGCAATGGATAACACCAAGCTCACCGCGATGGTGCTGCTAGATTTTAGCAGTGCTTTCAACTCAGTTGACCTTGACATTCTTATTGGAACTCTCCGCGCGGTCAACATTTCTCCTACTGTTATAGACTGGTTTCACTCTTACCTATTCGGACGTCAGCAGTGCGTGAAAACTAACGATACATCATCGGATTGGTTAGATCTTACTGCTGGTGTACCTCAAGGCGGCGTACTTTCCCCTTTACTCTTTTCTATCTTTATTAATAACATATCAAAAATCATTTCTTCTCCCTTCCATCTGTATGCAGATGACTTACAGTTATACCGACACTTTGAGCTGACCGAGTTGCATGAGGCTATTGGTGCATTGAACTCGGACCTTGTTGAAGTTCAGTCGTGGGCTGAGTCTTTCGGCCTTCTTGTGAATCCCACCAAATCGCAATGTATAATTTTTGGCAGCAGCAGACTGAGGTGCAAAATCGACTGGAACTCAATACCTCAAGTCCAGTTCTCTGGCGTTCCAATCCCTTATTGTAATAAAGTGAAAAACTTGGGCCTAATAATGGATTGTAACATGACCTGGGTAGCTCATGTCAACGAGGTCAGCAAACGAATGCATCACACTTTCCACTCTCTCAAACGTCTCCAATTTTTTCTCCCTTTTACAACCAAGATTATGCTAGCTCAATCACTCCTTCTCCCCATACTTGACTACGCCGATGTGTGTTATTTAGATGTGACTGAGGAGCAACTCAACAAATTAGAGCGTCTCCAAAATCTCGCTATACGCTTTATTTTTGGCTTGCGTAAGCATGACCATATATCAAACTTTCGTGCTCAACTTAAATGGCTCCCAATCCGCCTTCGCCGTGATATGCACATCCTTTCGTTCCTTTTCAATATTCTTAATGACCCTAATTCTCCTTCATACCTCCGTTCTCGTTTCCAAATACTCCCTACTCCTTCACGTTCCAGGCGGCCTTGCATCACTGCGACGCTCGATATACCCAAGAGCAACACAAAGTTCCTCTTGCATTCTTTTTCGGTGTATGGCGCATTGCTCTGGAACAAACTTCCTAAAGAAATCCAACTTAGTCCCTCTATTGATTCTTTCAAAAAAAAATTAAAACAGCACCTTCTCACTCAATTAAATCAAAAATTATCTTAATTACTATTATTATGTATTGTATTATATAGATATGTATTTATGTAAGTAGTAGTGTGTATGTATATATGTACATAAGTATGTATGGTATAAGTAAGTAGTGTATATTATATGTTATTATATATATTATTTAATTAGCTATATATTTTTGAGTATCTATATATTATTTATATAACTACGACTGCACGAATTTAGCCCGCTTTGTAACACTATTTCTCACTACCACAGGTTGGCTGGAAGAGATCTCTTCTAGAGATAAGTCCACCTTTGTAAATAACAACTGATTTTAAATTACTGTATTGATTTTTTTTTAAAGTGCAATAAAGAATAGTATATATATGTATAGATTTTGGTACCCGACGCTTCGAATGCTTTACGCAAACTATCTCTCCCGTGACCATGTTTGCTGTAAAACGTTCGAAACACCGGGAACCAAAACATAAAATATTGCGAGTGCTTTCTTTCTTTAATGTAATTTGAACAAAGTCTTTACTTTTATTTATGGGGTTAAGTTGGAAACATTTGCAATTCTGCACTAGTTTTTGCTATAATTACTCTGCCCTTAAGATTGTAGCGTCATGGTGATGTTAGACAGCTTATAAGCTTCCTCAATAAATCTATACATATAATAAAATTCTAACGAAGCCGAATCTGTACATAAAATATTTATTGGAAAATATTATTGCAATAGACATTATTAGTAATACAGAGGCCGAATCTATAGTTTTTAGATTTTTTGTCTATCTGTCTGTCTGTTACCGCATCAAGGAAAAACCACTGGAGGGATTTTGATGAAATTTGGTATGATGGTAGCTGGTTATCCGGGTCAACATATAGGATACTTTTTACTGCGGGAAAATATCTCATCTCTGAGAAATCTATACTAAACCTTAAAACGTAAATAGGGACGAACCCGAGCGGAGCGAGAGTTAGTCGCTAGTAGTCTATAAAATACTAAATCAATTTTTCAAACCAGATAGTTACTCGTAGGGATAAGCGCGCTCAAACAAACACAAAAACAAATTCTTCGGCTTTATTATATACCTACATGAAATTATCCTACACATTGTAGATGGCTAGTGGTTTTTTGGTATAATTACATTTAGTATAGATGTCAAAGAAGTCCACAATTAGAAACGATTACACGTCACTCTACCCACTCATTGTCCCGTTTATTTGGTGAACACATTCTGCATTGTATGCAAATGTAGCAAATTATTCGCAAACGCCAACGATAGAGGTCGAGCGTGACTCTCTTCTTAAGCAAACATAGATCACCGTTGCGTTCAATAGTCAATACCATTAGAGGGTTAATTAGAAAGCATTTATTATGTACGGCTGGGTTTAGTGGTAAATTATATCTCTTAAATTAAATTTCAGTTTGAAGTCGTAAGTTCGATGTTAATACGAGTGTTACTAAGGAAACTCGACGAAATGACGTGTAACGATTTAAGTCGTATATTTGTTATTTCAATATGAATTTAAAATATTAGACGCTGCTTATGTGTGTATCTGTTGATTACGTATAGTGTAGAAAACCCCAATTACCTATATATTTAAGTACTAGCGACTCACCTTCGCTTGGCTCGGGTTCGTCCCTAGCTTGATTCCCCATACAAACTTTCACCCCCATTTTCACCCCCCTTAAGGGATGATTTCCGGGATAAAAAGTATCCTATGTCTTTCCAGGGTCTCAAACTATCTTCTTGCCAAATTTCATCTGAATAGGTTCTGTAGATCTAGAGATCCCTATAACGTCACAAAGTCACAAACTCACAAACTTTACCTCTTTATAAAACTTGTATAGATTTAATAAGGCATGATGGGTCTCTCGATAACCATACTCACAGACTAAGAGGTTATTATGCATTTTAGATAATTTAAATAAATCTCGATCTTGCTTAGGCTTAGCGTGACGCTATTAACTATTATCCATTGTTGTATCTAAAGTCGATATAACATACCTATACATATGTACGTATGTATATAGGTTTTAGGTGAGTGCCATGAACTAAAAGTAAAAAAAAATATGTTAATATATCGAGCATTTTTTTAACTTGTAGTTTAAAAAATATCTTTTTTATTAAAATTTGTAGTTTAATTTATTTATAAGTTATTATTTTAAATAGTTATTTACTTTTTTATACTTTTATTTTAATTAAAATAATAGAATTTCAGCCAACCGTCAAAGCAATTAGGTAGGTACATGTTACAATTACATACAAATAAAAACTTATCTGTAACGTAATTATTGAATTAAAAACTCTAACAAAACATTTAATTAACTCTCTCAATTAGTTCAGACAGTAATGAATTTTAATTAGTACGATGAAAAAACAAGGATCTAGAAGTTAAATATCAATTGAAAACGAAAACTTCGCTTAGCTGAATGTAATTGATATTATAATCGATTAAAATTGTTCGAGAACTTTATCAATTTGTTTCGAAACTTCATTAAATAGATAGAAGTAAGCACAAGAGATATTATTAGGTCATCGTTGGGTTATGGATACTTACCTATAGGTACATGTAATAGAAACGAGTAACGAGATTAAGTTTATATATGTTGAAAATTTTATAAATAATGCTGACCTGTTTTTTATTTTTTGTTGTTATTTCATTATTTAAATATAAACTAGCCGCTTCTCCTTGCTTTCCTCAGGAGCTTCTCTAGGTGCCTATGCCTAGCCTATATGTTACTCCAGGTACACTAATTCTGTGTACTAAATATCATCCGAATCTGTCCAGCTGTTTCGGAGTAAAGGTGGAACAAACATACAAACATTTGCATTAGTAGTAGTGGTCCAATAATAGTACCGATTTTGATTGTGCTTTAAAATACGTTTTCTTTTAGTCAAAACGTGGCTTAAAGCCTTAATATCATTCCTTTTTTAAAACATTCACTAGAGCCAAACCTAAAACAAACTCTCCACACGTACGGCCCCAAAGGAAATATGGATCATGATTAGTGGTTATAAACAAACTAGAAATGTACTAGAGTGCTGACAGAACCTCGTTGCGAAATAAAATGATTTGAGTTTGCCAACTATTTCCGAACGGAATACACAAAAACAGATATTCCATTTTTCGTAGAAATCAGGTTAATGATACAAATATCCCTAGATACATCACCGTACTTTTTAACCTATTGAGTTAAATTAAGAGGGCAGTGAGTATTGCGATTTGGTTTATTTTTAGTGGCACATGTGTGGAACAGATTTTTATATTGCTAAATGTTAAAGCGTTGACCGGAACGTGTGGGGAAAGAGGCCGTTGAAAGAAGCCTGTCAGAATTATTCGAATAGCAACGTGCTCGCTAGTGAACGCTAAGAATCTTAAGACTGTAAAGATTATTGTTTGCACTATATCTTGTATAATTGTACTAATAAACAAGTAACAAATAAACCAATTTTTCAACATTGGCGCTTCGAGCCAGGATTTACAATTAACAAGAACCAGAAATATCAAGAAATTGAATAGACGATCTACTTATTCTTCGCTATACAACTATAAACTACATCACTCGGTGAGACGTTCCAACCAGATTATTCCATCAAAACTCCATAAAACCTTGTGCTAATACTTTGTGCTAATACCAGTGAATATTGTCGTTAAATTTATTAATTATTGAGTCGTATTTAAAAGAGTACTTGTACTTCATAGAACTGCTGTCGTCATATAACTTACAGGTAACTCCACTTCTAGTAAAGCACCAAAATGTCCAAAGCTGAGCTTACATTGCCTAAATCTCCAGTTTTAGATCCCACAGCTCAATTTATAAAAGAATTGATTAAACAAAGAGGTACTTTAAAAGGCCGGTTAACTAAATTGTCCGTTTATGTTAATTCTTTTGAAAATCAATTTCTAGACCGCGCTAAAAGGGCTGAGTTAAATTTAAGGATGCAGGGCGCAGCCAATATATTGTCAGAATTTAACAATGTACAAAACAAACTAGACGGGGTTCTTCCTGAGTCACAGGACGATGAACAGCTCGACGAGAGAGAATCCTTTGAAAGTAAGTACTATACTATCTTAGGTCAAGCTAATTGCATACTAGATAATGATAGTAATTCACCCAATGCAAATAGTTGTGGGAACGACCTAGGTAATATGCATCAGTCGGTAAAATTGCCTACAATAAATTTACCTACATTTGACGGTTCCTACGAACAGTGGCTCGAGTTTAAAAATACATATTTATCATTAGTTCATACGTCAAATAATATAAGTACAATTCAAAAATTTCACTATTTAAAATCCTCTTTGAAAGGTCCTGCCGTATTAGTTATTGATTCCCTGGAATTTACCCCGGATAATTATTATGTTGCTTGGGAGTTGCTTATGAATAGGTACAATAATAGCAGACTTCTTATTCACAATCATGTGAAAGCTTTGTTTAATATTAAAAATTTAAGTAATGAGTCACCTATATTATTACGCAAATTAATTGACATTATACTTAAAAACCTGCGATCTCTTAAATTATTAGGTGAACCGACGGAACACTGGGACACTTTAATTATTTATATGATTGTTTCTAAGCTTGATAATACTACTGAACGCGAGTGGGAGAAATATAGGAGTGATCTTTTGTTGAATGAACGTCAAAACGATTGTAAGACGCGAGTACAAGTAAATGATTTATTACAATTCTTAAAAGCTAGGGCTGATATGTTAGAAACGTTGCAAGTTTCACATTATAAACAAGGTTATGATTCGAAAACTATTACAAAAACGTCACATAATAATTCTAAAGTTCATTGTAATTTATCTACGTCAAAATCAAATAAAGTTATTAAAAGGTTATGCCCGTATTGTAAGGCAGATCATTACTTGTATTCGTGTCAAAATTCCTAGACTTGGCGATTGACACTAAAATAAATTTTGTTACTAATAACAAATTATGCAAAAACTGTTTGCGTCCCGCTCATACTGCGGATACATGTAAGTTCGGACCGTGTAGGAAGTGCAATTCTAAGCACAATACTATCATTCACCGCGACAGCGGCCCGACTGAAGAGCGAGTTTCGCTGCTGCATGCGCCCGCGCAAGGCGAGTGTAGTAGTGATTTTTATCAATTACCTCAACGCACACAAGCAAAACACCCTTTATCGCAGGTGAATGGTGCAGACGTACATTGCGCGCAAGCGTCACTCACTAAGCCTGTTTTGTTATCGACCGCGCTAGTCAATATAACAGATGATTCAGGGAATACAATTACTTGTCGCGTTTTACTAGATAGTGGTAGCCAATGCAGTTTTATACGAAAATCTCTATGCGATCAAATTAACACGCCATTAATACAGTCCATTAAAAAAATACAAGGAATCGGTAATTCTATCACGCAAAGTTTACAGTCTTGCAAAATAAAAATAAGTTCGTTAAACGGCGAGTATTCTACGCGCTTACAATGTTTGGTACTGCCGCAGATAGTACCGAGTATGCCATCTATACCTATTAATATTGATAAAATAATAATTCCGGATTTTATTACGCTAGCTGATCCCGCTTATCTGGAAGCTCATACGATTGATATATTAATAGGTACCGATCACTTTTGGGAGTTATTATGTGACGGAAAAATACCTCTCGAGAGTGGCCCTTTTTTACAAAATACTAAACTAGGTTGGATTGTCTCGGGTCCTGTGAATGAAATTGTGTGTTTAAATAATATTGTTTATTGTAATTTTTCACAGTCAATCGACTCTCAATTACGTAGGTTTTGGGAATTGGAAGAGGTCACGGTTAAATATCCTGCATTATCCGATACAGAAAAGACTTGTGAAGATAATTTCATTAAAACTACTAAACGGGATAGTCAAGGCCGTTTTATTGTTTCAATTCCTTTTCGGGACTCACCTACTTTACTTGGGGAATCATATACACAGGCATATAAACGCCTAATTTCACTTGAAAAGAGACTATCTTATTTACCTATTTGTAAAAAGTTATATAATGAATTTATAAATGAATATATACAGTTAGGACATATGACTCGCGTTTACACTTACAACAATATACATTTTTTTATGCCGCACTTTTGTGTATTTAATGAAAATAGCTCGACAACTAAATTTCGGGTTGTTTTTGATGCAAGTGCATTGTCATCGACAAACAAATCTTTAAATGATTTACAGATGGTCGGGCCACCCATTCAAGGCGATTTATTTTCAATTCTATTGCGTTTTCGCGAAAATACGTATATAGCATGCGCCGACATCGAAAAGATGTATAGACAGGTTTTAATTTCTGAAGATCAACGCGACCTCCAGCTTGTTCTATGGCGCAATGATCACGCAGCCCCTGTCGAGATTTATAGGTTAAACACGGTTACATACGGAACAGCGTCTGCGCCTTTTTTGAGCGTTAGGTGTTTACAACAACTAGCTATAGAGTGCGATGACGTTGACGTTAAGCGAGTTATAACGCAAGATTTTTATGTTGACGATATGATTACAGGAGGGAATGATAAAAATGAATTATTAAATTTATGCGAGAAAACAGCCAGGGTTTTAGCCAAAGGCTGCTTTCCACTTCGCAAGTGGATGTTCAATTTTGACCATGATCATACATTGTCGGGGTCACACACATTAAAAAATCTTTCTTTAGGTGAACAAACGCAATCAAAAACTCTAGGACTGAGCTGGCTTAGTCAACTTGATCAACTTAATTTTCAAACTAAGGTTCAAGTCCCTAGTAATATAACAAAGCGTGCAATTTTATCCATTATATCGCAGATTTTTGACCCGCTTGGCTTGCTCAGCGCAACTATAATATCAATTAAAGTATTATTACAAAAATTATGGCTATTAAAGATTGATTGGGATACAAAATTACCTCAAGAAGCAATTAATGAATTTATTCAATTTATAGGTAATCTTGATGAGCTTAGCAATTTGCGAATACCACGTCACAGTTTTGCAAAGCATCACACACGCTTAGAACTTCACATTTTTACTGACGCTTCTCAAAAGGCCTACGGAGCATGTGCATACATTCGTTCTTTTACGCCAAATAAGGTTGTAGTCAAATTACTATGCGCGAAAGTTAAGGTAGCTCCCTTAAAGGTATTAACTGTCCCTAGGCTTGAGCTGTGTGGTGCTTTGACAGGAGCTAGGCTGTGTGTAAAAATAGTTGAATCGCTTCGCTGTCGATTTGATGATGTTTGTCTATGGAGCGATTCAACTATAGTATTAGGATGGTTGCGTATGGCACCTTATCAACTTAAAACGTATGTACAGAACAGGGTAGTTGATATACAAGAATTGACGCAGGATTATTTATGGAAGCACGTAGCAAGCCACGATAACCCAGCTGATTTAGTTTCAAGGGGTATCGATTTAAAAACGTTAAAAGACTCAAAGTTATGGTGGAATGGTCCACAATTTTTACAAGATCCTAATTTTAAATTACATTCAACTAATACTGAAAATAACAAAATTAATCTCCCGGAGGTTAAAAGTTTACAAGGAATGACAATTCTAATGATTGTACTAGTCAGTCTCTTTTTCCATTTTCCAGGTTCTCTCAGTTTAACCGCCTTCAACGCACCATGGCGTATATTAAACGTTTTCTACATAATAGCGATAAAACAAACTTAAAACGATCGGGTGCTTTGAGTGTGGATGAGCTGCGAGAGGCTGTGAGTACACTTGCTTTATTATCACAACGGGAATCGATCCTTGAATATGATGCTTTATCTAAAAATAAACAGTTAACTAAGAGCAATTTAAAAAATTTAAACGTATTTTTAGATAATAATAAATTAATAAGAGTAGGGGGGCGTTTATCTAATGTGTCTGAATTTAACTTTGACAAAAAACATCCTATTCTTTTATCATCTAAGCATCATTTCACATACCTATTATTTCGCTACGAACATATACAGCAACTGCATGCAGCACCGCAGTTATTATTATTTACTATTCGAGAGTCTTGGTGGCCTATCAGCGGTAGGAATCTTGCAAAGAGAGTTGTACATGAGTGTGTCGTTTGCACTCGGTTTCGCGGTAAAACTCTAACTCCATTAATGGGCAACTTACCAGCTAAACGTTTATCTGTCAGTTTCCCGTTTGCCATTAGTGGAGTTGATTATTTCGGGCCAGTGTTTGTACTAAATCGGAAAGGTAGAGGTGCTAGGTTAACTAAAGCTTACGTTAGTTTATTCATATGTTTTGCAACTCGAGCTATTCATCTTGAGTTAGTGGGTGACTTATCTACTGATGCATATTTACTAGCGTTAAAGCGATTTATCTCTCGTCGCGGCAAACCATCAGAAATATTTTCTGATAACGGAAGAAACTTCACTGGTTTAATGGCAGAGTTTTCAAAATTTTTACACAAATGCGCAGATAATATTAAGGATTATGCTATTAACAATAATATTAAATTTAATTTCATTCCGCCATATTCCCCACATTTTGGTGCCTTATGGGAAGCAGGGGTGAAATCGTGCAAACACCATCTTAGACGGGTTCTAGGTAACGCTAATTTTACATTCGAGGAGTTCAGTACGGTATTGGCACAGGTGGAAGCCGTTCTAAACTCTCGTCCCTTATCTCCCATGTCTACAGATCCAAATGATTTTTCCCCGCTCACTCCAGCTCATTTTCTGGTTGGTCGTCCATTGACTTCACCTGCTTGCGAAAATTACGAGCAAATCGCACCGCATCGACTCACACATTACCAAAGAGTGGAGCAAGTCCGGCAGCACTTCTGGACCCGATGGTCAAAAGAATATGTATCAGAGCTACAAGTGAGAACCAAGTGGATGGAATCTGGTGACACACTGAAGGAAGGAACTCTTGTGCTGATCAAGGATGACAACAGCCCTCCTCTCAAGTGGTGTATGGGACGCATTGTTTCTACCTTCCCCGGAAAAGATGGAATTTCCCGAGTAGCATCAATCCGCACAGCTTCTGGAGCCATCACGAGACGAGCTTTTTCCAAGATCTGCCCCTTACCACTCGATTCAGCAACAGACCGTAGAGACTGTTGGAAGTAGGACCTTCCAAGGCCGGGGGCATGTTAAAGCGTTGACCGGAACGTGTGGGGAAAGAGGCCGTTGAAAGAAGCCTGTCAGAATTATTCGAATAGCAACGTGCTCGCTAGTGAACGCTAAGAATCTTAAGACTGTAAAGATTATTGTTTGCACTATATCTTGTATAATTGTACTAATAAACAAGTAACAAATAAACCAATTTTTCAACACTAAACATCAAATTGGTGAAATAGAACATCGCCAGAAAACCTGTATATCTGAGAGAAGCTAGCAAGTTTTCGAAAGATATGTGAAGTCCGCCAACTCGCACTTGGCAGTGGTCGATTAATACCTGATCCTCCTATCGAAGGCAGACCCGTGCCCAGCAACGGGACGTTAAAAATAGCTGAATACACACACAAACATCAAATGTTATCTACAAAATATGTATTAATGTAGTACTTTATAACATCGAGTTTTAAACGCTAGAAATTACGAGTTAAAAACGAAGATAAAAAAAATCATTATTATGAGGATTTATTCTATAAAAAAAGGTTTTATTTCTATAACAATAACAAAGAGGATAGCGAATTAGATTACCTTTTATGGCTTCATGTTCTTAGGTTAGTTTGTGGTTTGTGCGTATGTTTATAAATTTAAAATGATTTCATATTTCCTTCAATAGGATGGATATATATATTTAAATTCAATATCACCGACTCTCTTTAGCAGCTGACAAAACATAATCGTTAAAACAAATTCACATCGAATTACAATAAATTGAAAGTATCTACAAATAAAAAAAAATATTTGTAAATGGAACAATGGTATAATAGCAATAGGCTGTAATGTTTTTTAATAAGGCAATATAGAG